CAAGGGCTCCCCGGCAAGAAGAAGCCTGCCCAGCGCCAGCTGCAGCCTGGGGCAGCACCAGGGCCTTGGCCCAGCACATGGAGCCGCTTCCCAGAGCTGGCCCCGAGCTCAGCGCCTGCAAACAGCAGCCACTCCCCTGCTGCCCCTGGCAGGGAGGAGGCTGAGAGCCTCCCTTCAGCTGCCCCTCTGCAGGCCGAGCACAATGCCTCCGAGCTGCTCTGGAGCAGAGGGGATGGCAGGCCCAGGGTGACATGGGCGTGCAGGGTTCAGGGAGGGCAGGGGACAGGGGGAATCACAGAGTCACCATGGACCTGAGCTTGTCTGGATCAACCCCACCTGGAACAGTTCCCGTTAGTTCAGGCCGCTCTGCGGTGGAGACTGCAGAACCTACAAATGTCCCTGTTCCAGAAGCCTTGATATGTTGTACAACTCCTCCACAGTCTTCTCCATCTTCTCTCTTTCCTTTGAACTCTTATTTTCTGGATCTCCTGGGAACAGTTTGGCTGAGAGATTTCATTGTCTGCCTGTTGCCTGTGGTTGGGTGTCATGCCCAAACTTGCAGGAAGTTCTGACCTTCCCACCGCTCGATGTGTTCATGAAATCTTTGGTTTATTGATCGTCCTGCTTATCCCTGAGAAAGCCCATCAGACTCTGCCAGCTGGGATTTGCACCACACAAACCCTTCTTGAGCCGGTTAGTCCAGACAATATTCCACCCACATTATCAGTCTCTCACTGAACACATTTCTGAAAAATTTCATCTGAAATTAAGTGTGAGAGAGGCATTCAGCTTCTTGCTAACTCTAGGTACACACCGCTCCTGCCCCTCCCTTATTCCACAGTGCCTGTTCCCTCCTGAGCCACCAGCAATTTTTCCCTCAGCTACACCAGAGCCTCAGCCCAGCAGCAGCTCCACGGAGAGGGGATAAAGCCCTGGTTGAGCTCTCCCAGCAGAGCTCCCTGGCACTGATCTCACCGAGGTTGCTCAAGGGAAGGGGGAAGCCTTGGCTGCACTGTGTCCCAGCTGGGCCTGAGCCCAGGCAGACAAATATTCAGGGGGACAGATGGGCTTAGAACATTGACCCACTGTAGACAGCCCTTGTTGCCAAGAGTGTCTCCCCTGGACAGCCCTGTGGGACAGCAGCAGGCTTTGGGGGATGTGGTGTCAAACCTAAATGAACTTTCCCTTGTGGTCCCTGTGGGCTGAAGTCCAAGGCAGCCATCATTTCTGTGGCTTTCCTTGTGCGAGCCACAGGGTCTGTCACTTCCCCCCAGAGCACAGTGATATCAGGCTCTGTGTTCCTTTCATTCATTACCTCTTTGGTCCAAGGTCTCAAGTCCTGCCTGATGCAGCACCTGACCTATGATCTGCACAGGTACATTTTGATATGTCCTGCTGCAGACAGCACCAACACTGCACGGGAAGCAGGTCCCCTCAGGGATGGCCAGCACATGGCCAGCAGGATTCCTCAGCCTTTCTCCTTGCCCAGAAAGCAATCCCCATCCTCCTGATCTCTCTCGAGCTGGGGAGAGCAGCCGTGTCCTGGCCTGGAGAGGCAGGGAGGGGGCACTGCCAGCCATGCTGAGGCACTCCCAGGGTTGTTACACTGAATTAAACGAAGGGCCCAAACTGGAGTGAAACCATCCTTGTAGTGGCCTGACATTGGCAGCAGCGGTGTGTTAGCTTTGGAGGGGCAGGCGAAGGAGGGCTCAGGAGCCAGGGGCTGCACTTCAGAGCCTCTTCCCTGGACATATCTCTAGCAGGCTGGTGCCATCACCGTTCAGCTGCACTCAGGCTCCTTCTGACCCCGGGAACCTGCTGCTCTGTGGTGCTCATGGACAGAGCAGAGGAGAGTGTCCCTGCCATGAGCAGCACATTCCCTCCTGATGGAGGACACACAAGGACACACACACACACAGGCTCATGTACACTAACATAGAATTCTACACAGATTTGTACTCCCACATGCATTCACACAAACGTGTCTGCTTACATGTAAACACAAGAAAAGAACAAGCATGGGAACACAACGGACCATGGACACTGCTGAGGATCCCTGGGGACTGGACAGTGTCAGGCAGGATGGGATCAAACCCCAGCAGCACAACACCTACACCTGGGGAGGCAACAACAAGTGACCACGGATGTGAGCTGAGGAGGGAGGCAGGCAAACATATGGACATGGTATAACTTCATGGGTGGGATCCCACGGCATCCATCTGAGGAGGGCTGGAATTTCATTCTAATAACACTTCAAACAGCCCCACCAAAGCGACCCAGGCTGACATCACTTGCCTGCTCTGGAAACATCCAACAGTGTAGCTGAGTCTTCTGCCAGCACTGCTGCATTCCTGCCCTACAAATCCTGGGGCCTTTCATCCCAGTGCTCAGAACAAGCCTTCACTGGGCAATGGGCATGGCACAGACCTGGAAATGAAAAGAAGCAGTGCAGGAAAGGAAAGCACAGCCCATATCATTAGCTGCGATGGTTTGCATTCAAGAGGAGCTTGTCAGAAAATTGTTACCTCTGCAAAGGGTGCCTCTGGTCCTGCGGCAGTGAAGGGCAGGTATAAAAGGCAGCCCAAGTCCCTGCTCTCTCATGCCCTTCTCTTGGCTCCTTCTGCTTGGGAACCAGGTGAGTCTGAAGCCCCTTC